TAAAACTTTTGTTATGACAAGGAAATAAAATATTTTAATCTCCCCCTTGTAAAATGCTGTTTATGCAGAGGCCCTGCTACTTCTAAACCCTTTCTCCACCATGCCTTCATTTCCTTTTCACCAAGTGAGGTCAGACCCTAGCCAGTGGGGCATGCTTACATTGGGATAGAAACTCATCAGATTTCCCGTTCCTTGGGTTTGCTTCTCTGGTTTTGTGAGCTACGCACCCTTATGATCTGAAGTAACATTCTGCCTTGTTGAGACACTTTAATTGAAGAGGTCTCAAAAAGACCCCCAAATTTTATTTATCTGTATTTCATGTGTATGAGTGTTTTACCTGCAAGTATGTAAGTGCACCCATGTGTGCAATGCCCTCAGAGGCCAGAAGAGGGCATCAGAGCCTCTGGAATTGGAGTTGAGGGTGGTTGTTAACCACCATGTGGGTGCTGGATCTAAACCTGAGTCCTATGCAAGAGCAGCCAGAGTTCTTAACCATTGAGCCATCTCTTCAGTCCCTTGGGTCTCGTTATATGTGACCAGGAACACCAGGATTCTTTCCTCCTATAAAAGAAAGTTCACTGAGGAGGGGAAACCTAGATGGAATGGTACAGGTACACACTGATAATCCCAGTATCTGAGAGGTGGATCAGGAGTTCAAGGTCATCCTTGGCTACACAGATGGAGTTGGAGGCCGGCCTGAGCTACATGAGACCTTGTCATAAACAAACAAAATACTTAGGAAGGAGAGACTGGAGAGTCTAGTGGTGGGCCCAGTGGTGGGAGGTCATGAGGTGGGAAAAAGGGTTTCAGCTAGAATCCTCCAGTGCTGCCTCCTGGAGCCTGGCCTTTCTATGCACATGAGGGGCTCAGATAGTTACCTCAAGGCTGCTTAGACCCAGTGCCCTCCCAAATATAGGTTGCTGGCCTAAAATGGTGGCTGCTGCTGTTGGTACAACTGAGTGTCATGGTTACTAAGAAATTGCTGGATCAGGCAGGTTGCCCTTCAGGCATAACCAACCCTCCCGGGCGTTTCGAGCCTCACCCCAAACAGGAATGCAGGGAATGTCAGTTTTTTATGTCCTTCCTTCCCCTCAAAGATTAAAGAGGTTATCTCAATGTCTAGTGACTGCTTAGGAGCTTAACCACAGGCAGAACAGAACTTGACCTTGTCACACCTACCCCGCACAGCCCTCCTCCACTTCCTTCCCCATCCACCCATCTCAGCCTTCCCCTCTTTCCTCACCCTTCCTTCCCAGACTGCCCTGGGGCAGCTGCCTCCTGCTAGTTAGTCACTTTTAAATGCTTAACAACACATCCCTGGGGAACTGGCCTAATGAAGCTATCTATAAACACCTGATGTAGGAAACTTTAAAAAGAGTTATTTTCTGGCTTCCTTGGTTGAGTACTTGCCTAGCTTTGCACAGAACCCCGGTTCCACCCTCAGTTCCAGGAAACAAAAGTTCACAAAACCAAATTCAAATCGTGGCTCCTACACAGATGTAAAGAACATGTATTCGGCATTTACTGAATTAAACTCACTAGGGAGCCAGGTAGGCATAATCACCAGCTCAAAGGGCAGCCACCGAGTACATTTTAGGTCAGGAATATTGAAATTAATGTGCAAATAGAGGTGAAACCAGTTTTTCCACAAGGGGGTGAAGGGAAATTCTATCAGGCCAGACAGAATATTCACCAATCTGCAATTTAAAGTGTTATAAAACCGCTCAAAGCTGGGCCTGGTGGCGCACACCTTTAGTCCCAGCACTCGGGAGGCTGAGGCAGGCAGAACTCTGTGAGTTTGAGGCCAGCGTCTACATAGTGAGTTTTGGGCCAGCTGGGGTTACAGGGAGACCCTGTCTCAAAAAGACCAAAAGAAGAAAAAAAAAAAAAAAAAAAAAAAAAAAAAAAAACAGCTCTAAGGAAGGGTGTGTTATGTGAACAGCTCATAGTTTCTGGCTGAGGCACAGTCATTTTCCACAGAAGGCAGGTCAAAAGAGGGTTCAGTCCAGCCTCTGAGAAGTAGTGTGATGACTCACGCAGGATGTAAGGCCCTTTCTCCGGAGCTGAGGAAATTATAGCTCATTTGCAGTAAGACGTTTGGGTTTAAGCTCAGCACTCTTAAGAAGGACTGAGCCCATCAAATATTTTTAGCAGGTCTGGGATGTAGACACACACACACACACACACGCACACACCAAACAAACTACATGGATGGTTTCTGGAATATTCTGGAACACGAATGTTTCTGAAGTTTGTCTTTCAAGACTTTTCACAAACCTTCTTTGATCCTGTCTCTGCTGTACAGACTTGGGTATTTATTCCAACTCTGAGGGGGCACTTTCTTGTCCTTGGTTGGGGACATTAATAGTACCTGCCCAGAGGTTACTTAGTGACATCACTGGAGTTCCTTGGCTGTCCTTCTGTTCACCATTCAATCCATTTCTACCTTTTCAAGATTTTGCTGGGTGTGGTGGTGCATACCTTCGATCCTAGTGCTCTGGGGACAGAGGCAGGCAGATCTCTGTGAATTCAAAGCCACCTTTGTCTACACAGTGAGTTTCAGGCCAGCGAGGGCTACATAGTGAGACCTTGTCTCAACAAAACAGCAAAACTCAACAAGCCAGGGAGCAAACTCAGGCCTTCAATCTTGACCTCAAGTGCCTTTACCAGCTGAGCCATTTGGACCTTCTTGGTATGTTTTTTTTGTTTGTTTGTTTTGTTTTATTTATTTATTTTTTAATATTTTATTTATTTTTATTTTATGTGTGTGAGTGTATTGCCTGCATGTATGTGAGTGCACCCGTGTTGTGCAGTGCCGTGGAGGTCAGAGGAGGGCTTCGGATTCCCCTGGAACTGGAGTTAAGGACGGTTCGTAGCTGCTATATGGGTGCTGAGAATCAAATCTGGTCCTCTGCAAGAGCAATCAGCGCTCTTAACTGCTGAGCCATCTCTCCAGCCCCTAATTTTTTTTTTTTTTTTTTTTTGAGACAGGATCTCTCTCTGTAGCCCTGTAGCCCCAGCTGGCCTGGAACTCGCTAAGTAGACCAGGCTGGCCTCAATCTGCCAGAGATCTCCTTGTCTCTGCCTCCTGAATGCTGGGGTTAAATGCCTCGGCCACTTCTACCTGCCCTTTTAGTGTTTTTTGACACAGCAACTCTCAGTCTGTCTCCCAGGACAGCCTATGCAGTTCTTGGGCCTCTAGTTTCTGGGATTACAGGTGTGTGACACAAAACTTGGCCCTTTAGTTTTGGTACACACTATGTAGTCCAGGATGACCTTAAACTTTCATTCCTTCTGCACCTCCAGAGTGCTGGGATTTCAGGCACGCACAGACATGGCCACCCACAACAGCTCCCTTCCCACCTTGTTCAGTAGCAGGTAGGGGGAACAGCAGGTAGGGAGAGGCCAGCATGCAGCAGCATGAGGTCACAACTCCAACCACTTGGGTGTAGCCTCAGATAAGGGGCCCTGGAACAGAATAACCATGGGAAAGTTCCGGGCTCCCCGGCAACTCCTGGATGTCCTCTGTCCAGAGCCCAGGTTCCCAGATGTTACTCTGGGACTTCTAGGTAAGTGGGAGCTCAGACCAGAGAGGGTTTGACCTCCAGCACGCCTCCTTCCAAGGCCCACATTCCTGGGACAGTTGCAGACAAGTGCCACATCACTCCCTCTTTAGTGTTGTAAGCTGTCCTCTCCCTCCGCCTCCCTGCAGCCAGCTGTAGTGGGCATGGCTGATGACCATTCAGGTCTGGCATTTATGGAAGCCAGTGAGAGGCGTGAGAACCTTAGTGCGTGGGTGCGGCTCCCAGATCGCTAGCCCAAGGCTGCTCCCTAGTGGCTGTCCCCCACACCTAACTTGATGGAGCTGGGGTGTGAGGCTGCAAAATAGGCGTCGTTATCAGCCACTCTCCCTGTCTCTGAGCATTTACTTTATATATATATATATATATATGGGTTTTTTTGGTTGTTTTGGTGCTGAGGGTGAAAGCCAGGGCCTCCACACCCCCAACCATATGTAATATATATATTTATAGATGGGATTGCAGATGTGCACCACCATGCCTGGTTTATGCAGTGTGGGAATCAAACCAAAGGCTTTGGCTGGTGCATGCTAGGCTTTGAGCCCATTCCCAGGTAAAGTGACCCTTAAAAAAAAAAAAAAAAAGGATTTTTTTTTTTTTTTTGGTTTTTTTGAGACAGGGTCTCCTTTTTGCCCCAGTTGTTTTGGACCTCACAATATTTACAAGGCTGGCCTCAAACTAACAAAGATCCACCTGCCTCTGCCTCCCAAGTGCTGGGATTAAAGGCGTGTGCCACCAAGCCCAGCAAAAGGGTGCTTTTTATCAGTTGGATTTGGACATTTGTGTTGCACATTATATATATAATGTTATATATATAAAACGACAGGGTCTCATGTAACCCTTGGTTCCTTCCATTCCTGGAACAATGCAATGCATTCAGGAGGTGGGGCAGGAGTTCAAGGCAATCCTATATAGTGAGATCAAGGGCAGCCTCCAATACTGTCTCAAACAAACAAACAAACAAACAAACAGAACCCAAAGTAAGCAGGGCATGGTAGACATACCTTTAATCCCACTTAAGAAGCACAGGCAGGGAGAGCTCTGTAAGTTCAAGGTCAGCCTGGTATACATAGGGAGTTCCTGGCCAGTCAGGGATATATAGTGAGATCCAGTCTAAAAAATAAAAGCAAGGGGGCTGGAGAGATGGTTCAGCAGTTAAGAACACTCGCTGCTCTTACAGAGGACCCGGGTTCAATTCCCAGAAGCTACATGGCTGCTAACAACTGTCCATAACTCCAGTTCCAGGGTATCCAATGCCCTCCTCTGATCTCCATGGGTATTGCACGACATGGGTGCACTTATATACAGGCAGGCAATATACTCATATACATTAAAAAAAGGCAAAAGCAATTAGCAGCAAAATAAAAATAACCCAACCCCCCCCCCAAATAACCCCAAACCGTGCAGGCAAAAACAAGATGCAAGGAAGGAAAGTCTGTTTAATTTGCTCTACAAATGTCTTAGAAATTACAAAGCAGCAAAAGTGAACTTCTTTTACAATGTTTTCTATTTTACACTTATTTATCGTGTGTATACGTGGGAGGGACTGCACATGTACCATGACAGGCGTGTGGAGGTCAGAGGACAACTTGAGGGAGTCAGCTCGCTCTCTCTACCATGTGGGTCCTGGGGGATTGAACTCAGGTCCTCAGGCCTGGTGGCAAGCACCTTTACCCCTAGTCATATCAGCAGCCCTAAAGTGAATTTCTTTAAAAGGGAAGAACTCCTCATGCGGCCTCGTGGAGACGGTGTTTATGGGCAGCCTGGCCACAAGGCCTGAGGTGGGGGTTGGAGGTACAAAGGGAAGACAAAGGCCACCTGCCCTGGCCCGAGTGTATGTGCCACTGGAGGCTGCGGGAAGGAGGCTCAGCCCTGCTTTTCTCCCTGGGGATATCAAAGGCACATAATCCATGTCCCTGCACAATGCACAAAAGGATACCTAAGGGCCAGGAGGCAGGTAGAGGCTGCAGACCACCCTCCCTCCCTCCTGGCCCCAGCCCTACTTCAGCATGCTATGTTGTTCCAGAGATACAAAACCCATGGCTGGGTCTCCACTACATCACATCTGTATACATACAGGTTTTTTTGTTTGTTTGTTTTTGAGACAGGGTCTGGTGTTATGTAGCCCTGGCTGGTCAGGAACTCACTATGTAGACCAGGCTGGCCTCAAACTTCTGGCAACCTCCCACCCCTGCCTCCCAAGTGCTGTATATTTGCTGTTTTCTGCCCACCAAAAAAGAATTTGAAAAATGAAAAGATTTCCTTCCCCCAAATCCAAAGAATGGTGTTTTTCATTTAAATCTTTAAATTTTCAAAAACCACTTTTTAGAGGAACATGGAGACTTCAAACTGTTCAGTTCTGCACCTTAAGTTGGTCTTAGTGCCTTCTGCTAGACAGCTAGGTGTCCTGGGAGGGACAAAGGTGGCCCCTTATGATCTGCCTCCCCAAATGGGTCAGGGCCAGTACTAGAGAGGGTCTGGAGTCTGGATGTGATAGTAAGGAGCCTTCCAGAAGGCAGGAGGGGAGAAGTTGAAAGTCTGGGGGATGCTGTGTATCAGAAAGCTAAGCCCTGGTGTCTCAGGCCCTTGCATCCTAGATTCTCTGAATTGAGCTGTGTGCTGGTGCCCAGTGAGGCTCAGAAGGGACTTGTGCAAGAGCAGGTGAGGCAGGAACGCCATGTCAGGAAGGGCCGGGGCTCTCAGCAGCACCCCGCAGCACTCCTCTTCACATGGCATGGCTTGCAGAAGAGATGGTCATTCAGGGGGTAGCAGCCTTGGTCCGTGGGCTCCACAGACAGGAGGATGCTGCAGTCCTAGAGAGATGAAAGCACATGTGGGTGTCTCCAGGCGTGAGCTATGTCAGCATGGAGGTTGCCTAGGAGACACTCAGCATCTGCTGGGTGAACTAAGTGTGGCCCTCCTAATCATGGTCCTCCTAATATCCTGGCCCAGGTCGCCCTGAAGGAAGAGCAGGTGCAGACACTTGGGGGCTTGATCCACAGGAGTGGGGGGGGACAACCACAGCAGGGTGCCTGTGGGGTAGGCTGAGGACACTGAGAGGGATCTTTGAGCCCTGATGGCTTCTTCAAAAGGTAAGGCAGGGCTGGAGAGATAACTCAGGTGTTAAGAGCACTGGCCGCTCTTACAGGGAACCTGGGTTCAATTCCCAGCATCCACATGGTGGCTATCCACCATCCATAACTCCAGATTCAGGGAATCCAGTGCCCTCCTCTGACTTCTGTGGGCATTGCACATGATGGGTCCACTTACACACATGCAGGCAAACACTCATACACATAAAAAATAATAAAAAGCCGGACGTGGTGGTGCACGCCTTTAATCCCAGCACTTGGGAGGCAGAGGCAGGGGGATCTCTGTGAGTTCGAGGCCAGCCTGGTCTACATAGTGAGTTCCAGGACAGCTGGGGCTACAGGGAGACCCTGTCTCAAAAAGACAAAAAAAAAAAAAAATAAGGTAAGGTACACAAGGTAGGCACTTTGCTGGACATCAGCAATCCCACCTGAGTTCAGCCTGGCATATTACAGGCCTGTAACAAATGTCTGAATTTTGCAGGTGGGGAAACTGAGGTCCCAAGAGGGGTAGAGTTTGTCGCATGTCACACAGCTAGCTCTGGACCTAGAACCAGACTGGATTGCCAAACTGACTCCAAGCATCCTTTTTCTTTTTCTTTTTCTTTTTTTTTTTTCTTTCTGAGACAGGGTCTCATGTAGCCCAGGCTGGCCTGGAACTCTGCAACAGGGTCGCACTAAGTTGCCCAGGCTAGCTTCAAACTTGTGATATTCCTGCTTCTAAGCCTAAGTAGCTGAAAGTTGGTCCTGTGCCCTCACAGCTTCAACACTAGCACAAACATTTTAAAAAGGATTTTTATTATTTTTAAATTATTTATTTATTTATTTTATTTTTTGGTCTTTTTGAGACAGGGTCTCCCTGTAGCTGCAGCTGGCCTGGATTTGCTATGGAGAATAGGCTGGCCTTGAACTCACAGAGGTCCACCTGCCTCTGCCTCCTGAGTGCTGGGATTAAAGGCGTGCGCCACC